AGGCTTTGCTCTAGCTAAAAGAATGGCTAGGAACTCAGGGAGAAAGTGGGAGGAGGAGAAGGAGAAGAGTGAAGGGGTGCGACCTAGATGATAGAGAGATTAGAGGACATCATGGTGAAGAAGGAGGAGGCATGCATCAAGCGCAATGTCGTGAATAAGGAAAAGAAGACCGAGAGGTTTGACAAGTTCTTGGTGGTGCAAGAGAAGAAGATCAAACTCAAAGAGAAGAAGGTCGATGCCAGGACGTCGACTATGAAGACGCCAGAGTTGGATCCCGATGGCGAAGATTATGCAAGTGTATCATGCTAGCATGTTGAAGCTCTACGCAGACGCTTCAAAAGAGCTGGTCGAAGAGTGAATACTTTGGCATGGATAGTAGGACCGGAAGGCAAAAATTGACGTCTTTTGCATGGGTAACGGGACTGCCATCTTTTAGGATCAGTTGGATGTAAGAACTTGTTGAACATATGGTGTTTTTTGGTTGTGATTGTGTATGTTTGCATCTATTTATACATGCTAAATTGCTATTGATCTGCATATGCATGTCAAATGGAGGAGGTGGGACCTAGGGCAGATATTTGGTGCATCGGGTTGGATGGTTGACTCCCTACCACTGTCTCCGGACATTTGGTGTGTCCAATTTGATGCACCGCCTTGGAGTTTCCCTAAGCCATGAATGGCCTACTTAACCCCATATGCATCCGCCAGTCTAACACAAATACATGCTTCTGGCCCGCACAAAACTATAATTGCATGCACATCCGTCCGTGCACAGTTACAATTGCACACCCTACCTATGTTTTTGTTGTTGGTCGCGTGCAAAAAAGTAAAAATAAAATAAGAAAAAGGAGTAAATTCTATTTTTTACCCCTAAGTTTCACAATTATTACAGACTTTAATCAAACCTTTTCCAAGATTTGCCCCTTTCAAAAAATATAGCGTGCTCACAAGGCAGATCCACATATTAGTACACACATCACAAGATCCTAGTTACGTGATTGTGCGAGCAAAAATGTTACACCTACGATAATCCTAGTTGCATAATTAACATAATGTGCAACATGTGGGCTGCTGATTGGAGATTAGGGGAGGGAGGGCCCACCCCCATGAAAATAGGGGGGGGGGATATAAGTTAGGCAATTTAGGTAAACCCTTCGTACGTTCCCATAGATGTAGCAATCTCCCTCGCACAATGCCGGGTATCAAAAATACTCGGGCGAAGGCCAAAAATAACCGACAACTTCTTTGCCAAGTGTTACACCTAGCGAAGGCGACTCGGCTTGCACCATGTTGGCAAAGCAAGGTATGCGATATTTTTTCCACGGGCACTCGACAAAGACTTTGGCGGGTATAAATTTATGGTAGTAGGCAACATAAAGGCACATGACGGCCGGTCGACGGAAACAGAGGTGCCACATGGCACCTCCGTTACCCAAGTGTGGCACTTTTGTATACTTGGTGTATAGCTAACTAGCGCAACAAGTGTCCAAACACGGGCAGTCGGCATACAACATTTCATATTTTTTTACTTGTTAGTTTGTTGCTCTCTACTTTTTTCTCCTCTTCTTCATTTTCTTTTACAACTTTGTTTATTCTTTATATTGTTGCTTATTTCTTATATTAACCATAAAAATGAAGAAATATACTGTGTACACAAATATATGAGATTATCTAGTTACATGGGTTAATAAATATACGAGATCCTTTGCAAATTATTTATGTGCCCAGTTTGTGTGTTGAGCTGGAAGATAGCTTTCATGTGTACCTGAACTGCCCAAATGTTAAGAGATTGTGTAAAGCAATGGCTGATGTTTGGTATTTATCAGGCAGACTTCCTAATCCATCTGAATATAACAGATATGGTTGATGGCTTCACATGCCCTAGTCATGGGGAAAAGACCGCAAATAGGCCTCTATTGACCGTGGAAAAAGTTTTGAGGCCAACAGAGGAATAGTCCCCGCTGTCCCTTCATAAACCAGACACGTTCTCTCTCGATAGCTTGACCCTTTCTAGGAGACCGTCCTATTTCGACACAACCTCTTTGAAGGCTTCTGCAAAATGCTTTTAAATTTTTCCCACACCCTCGAGAGGCCGTATGATGACACCACGTCGAGTCTTGTGAATTTCCGGCCTCTTGTGAATTTTCTTGGATTTAAACAGCAGCAAACCGCACGCCGGCAAGCCTTGGCCACCGGTGTCGGGTCCTCCCTCGCCTTTGTTGCACATGATCTAGTCATGATCAAAGACCACAGACAGAGACTTTCAAGCCATTCCGTCCATGATTTCATGTGGCAGCAGGTCAAATCTTGAATTTTCGGCACTAAAACCTTATAGATGCAGTAAATGTGTGTAATATGATAGGCGCCCCCCTAAAGGCGAGGAACTGACATGTGCCTTGGAATAGCCCCCATTGGCCGCAGAAAAGTTCTGAGGCCCTTTTGAAGAAACGATAGGGGGTAGATGTTGCGGGTCCATCGGACAAGGAGACACATGAAATTGTGTGAGGAACAGTAAGAAACACTCCTCTTCTTGCATGGTGTCATGACATGAGTTACAAGGATTGTGCAAAAGTAGGAAAAGGCCAATACACAACTCTGAATTGGGAAAGTGTCCTTAAAGAGAGAGAGGTGAAAAAATAAAGGGAGATAAAGGGAGGGGAGAAGTGGCGGAAAATACTAGTGGGAGAGAATGTGTGAGAAAGAAAGAAAAATAAAAAATTGCAATAAAAGAGAAATGAAAGAGATGATGCAACAGGGTAAGCCGAGTGTATATTATCTGGTACTCGACTTACCCTTAATTCTTTTCTTAAAGAAATGTTAGAAAATTATAAGGCGAGTGTAATTTATCGGGTACTTAGTCGTCATTCTAAGACCCTCAACAAACACGCTCGCCATCACGGAACCGTCAGATATGGACAGGAGGGACACAAGTCCAGGGCTTAGCTAAGCGGCCTATATTTGTTGTTTTGTCCACCTTTGCCGAGCACGCTATTTATGCCGAGTGTTTTTTGAGTTGCTCTCAGAAAAGGCCACACTTTGCTGAACCCCGCGTCTGTGTGATACTCGGCATAGAGACTGTATTCGAGCTCCCGATAATTTACACTCGGCAACAGCGTTTTTTCCTGTAGTGACAGTACCCAAGTGGCGTGTCACGTGGATGGTTTCTTTCTAGAAGGTTTTTCCATTCGATCCCGTTCAGTATGGTTCGTCCCGGCTCAGTCTGGTTCCTTGCCTGCGTTGCGCTCCTCGGTGCTCAACATTGGCCTTCAGACCGTGTCGACGGTGTGGTACGTGCATGACTTAGGGCATTTCTAACCGATCCTCAATACGGCCATAAGGGAGTAAAATTTTCGGTTTACTCCCTTACGGCGGACCTAGCCGATCCCCTAAAAACGTTATGTAGTATGATTTTTTTACTGCAACGACCTATTTTCCCCGAGATTTCCCTAAATATACTCCATCGTGTGGCGGCCGAATACAACTCCCTCTCGCCCGCCGCCACCCCCCGCCACCACCCCCCGCCACCGCCACCGATGACCTCTGAGCCGGCCGGAATGGATAGCCAACCCCCCTCACCCCACCGGCCACCGACGCCGGCTTTTCGCTGTCGAAAACCACCCACGCGCCGCCGCCAGTGCCGAAACAAAGCTTGGGGATGAGATGACAAAGAACTATCGGGTCCAAGCTCCGCCTCCAAGCGCGCGAATGGTGTCTGGGGTGGCCACCGCCTCTCCGGCAACGGCACACCGCCCTCCCGCCGCACCTATCGGAGGCAAACAGGCTCGAAAGTCGATGGCGGCAGCGTCTGCGCTCGCTAAGGCGGCCGCCAAGAAGAAGATGGAGAAGACCGTGATAGCGCCTCGTCCAAAGCCTACGCCACGTGCGACACTCTGACTGCCCCTACGGCGACTGATCCGGCGTGAGCGGCGACCGCAGCCAGCAACAAAAAACGCGCCCGCCAAGTGCTCGATGAAATGCCAACAAAGTAAAAATTAAAACCTCGCGTCCCGTTGGTATTTGATAGTGATTGTTCGTTATTGGTATTGATTGTTTAAAGTGCTTTATTTGACATTGTAGAGTGGAGATGAACACGGCCGAATTCCTCGCATCGTTGGAGTCCTCAGCCACCATTGGCCTTGATGATCTCAACTATGACTCGTATTGGGATCATTCGTCCACCCAAGACACGGAGGAGGCCAAGGAGGAGGTCCTAAAGGTGGTGGCTGAGGATTCGTGATGCGAAGAAGGCCGAAGAGCGCGCTATCATGTTCATGAATCCAAACACAATGGATGAAACCGCAGGAAAGTATTGGGAGCTCACTCATGGAGAAATTTTGGCCTCTCTTCGGAATGTTGGTGGTGGCTAAGGGGGTGGTGCTGATGGTGGCCGAGGGGGAGGGGGGAGGTGGTGGTGGTGATGGTGGCTGAGAGGATGGTGATGGTGGCCGAGAGGGTGGTGGTGGTGATGATGGTGGCCGAGAGGATGCCGAGGTTGATTTCTTTGCCGAGGACGTCGTTTGAGTGGTGGTGGCCAAGATGGTGGTGGTGCATGCCGAAGATTGGCTCGATCCACAACATATACATGTTATGTTTGCGGTAATTTTGAATCAAACATTGTGTTTGAAGTGATGTCTTTTGGGTGAACTTCGCATGTTTAAATTTGAAAAACGCGGTGATGAAACTTTACTTTATGACGATTATTGCTATCCATACTTTAATTTGAATGATTTTAAGATATGCATTGTGTAGAGATTGTGTTTGTGCGGCTAGTATACAAAACAGTCATAAATTTGATTTTACTCCGCTAACTATAACTATAGGGATCGGCTAGATGCGGCCATCATTAAGAAAGTAAAATTTTACTCTACTAACTTTACTTCAACTTTTACCTACAAATGCCCTTACCTACCAATAACCTACACTTAGATATACTAATTCAGAGGGAGCTGATGTTGCTGCTGCTGTATAAATAGAGCTAGCTACCACGATGGGTGTAAGCCATGCAAGCACGGTCGATTGATAACCAGGGGACCTACATTGCTAGAATGGCTGCTAGGACGGTGCTAGATGAGCTGAATGTGCGGCGGGGCACGCCATCGTTGGTGGCGCCGGCGCGGGCGACGCCACGGCAGAGCATGGCGTTGTCGGACATCGACAACCAGCCAGTCATGTGGTTCTACAGCACCGTGATCCACCTCTACCGAGGCGACCCGTCCAAGGGGCTCATCGACCCGGCGTTGGCCGTGCGCGCTGCGCTGGCGGAGGCGCTGGTGCACTACTACCCGATGGCCGGTCGGCTGCGCGAGGAGGCCGGCCGGAAGCCGGTTGTGGACTGCGCTGGGCAGGGCGTCATGTTCGTGGAGGCCGACACGGACATCGCCATCGATGATCTCGGCGACGTGCGGTACCCGCCGTTCCCGCGCTCCGAGGAGTTCATCTACGACGACCACGTCTACAAGGCGCCCCCGCCTGGCGTGCCGCTAGTGCTAGCTGCAATCATCAACCAGCCCCTGCTCTACGTCCAGGTGACACGGCTCAAGTGCGGAGGCTTCACCGTCTGCCACCAGAGCGCCCACTGCATCAGCGACGCCGCCGGCTTGGCGCAGTTCTGGAAGGCAGTCGGCGAGCTCGCCCGCGGCGCCAGCGCGCCGTCCATGCCGCCCGTATGGACCAGGGAGATTTTCAACGCGCGGCAGCCGCCACTCCCTAGCTTCCCTCACGACGAGTACCGGGAGCCTACGGACGTTTGCGACGGCGACCGGATCGCATCCACGCCACAGCGCGACATGGCGCGCGTCCAGTTCTCCTTCGGGCCGGGGGCCATCGCCGCGCTGCGCAGCCGGGCCGCGCCGGGAGCGGCATCGGCGTCTCAGTTCGACCTGGTGGCCGCCTGCGTGTGGCGGAGCCGCACTGCGGCGCTCGGCTACGCGTCCGGGGACGAGGTGCAGCTGATGATGGCGGTGAACGCGCGCGGCCGGCGCATGGACGTGTTCGGCCGCGAGATCCCCGCCGGATACTATGGCAACGCGTTCGCCTTCACTGTGGCGCGCTGCGCTGCCGGGGAGCTGTGCGGCCGCGACCTTGGCTACGCGGTGGGGCTCATCAGGGCGGCCAAGGCGAGGGTGACGTACGAGTACATGCGGTCGGTGGCGGACTTGATGGTGCTGGAGGGCCATCCTGTGATCGCGAGGAAGCGCACGTTCGGCGTGTCGGACCTCAGCCATGCCGGGTTCGACGAGGCCGAGTTCGGGTGGGGAAAGCCCGTCTATTCAGGCGTCACCACGGACGCCCACCGCGGCGCCACCTTCTTCATCCGAGGCAAGAACGAAAAGGGCGAGGGCGAGACGTTCGTCGGCATCTACCTCCCAGCAGACTGCACGGGAAGGTACCGGAAGGAGGTTTTGGCCCTCACCACCAAGCTAGAGCCGCTTATGGAGAAAGCATCGTCAGCTCCACTTGCCCCGCGAGCCCGCTATTAAAGTGGAAATAGACTTTCACCTTGCTTTATAAATAAAGTCATACGGCTGAACGGTGTAATATAAATGAATGCCGTCAAAAGCGTGTGTATGTCAAGCGCCGGCGAACAATAACACGGGAAAGGATGGACCAGGAATGCCGCTAGCGCTGGGACCTGCACTCATTGCCGACAACCCTAGGAGGGACACGACCCCTACGCATCGCAGCCGCCGTCGAGTCCAACACTGCGGAGTAGGGTTTTCACTCATAATGCACGAAAGGTGCAAGAGGAGTGAACATGACACCCGTAGGCACTAGGAATGAAAACGGCGCGGAAACCGATAAAACTGGGTGTTACCATATTTGTTTTCATATTTTTTTGCAGAAGCAGAAATGAATACAGAAACCCCGAAAACGAATATGAAAACAAATACTACCAGAAACAGACACGCAGCGAATACATAACAGACATGGAAACAAAACGGTTTGTCGACCAGAACTTAAAACCTCCTTGAATCATAGAGAAATATCAACAAAAAACAAATAAATTTATGAAATTGTTAACATGACTACAAAATAATATGGTTATGTTAGCAACATAGGATAGTATCTCTACTCCTAATGTCTCAGTTGGTAGGTCGCGTTCCGGGTTTTATTTTCGTCCCACCTAACCCGGCCTATTTTGGTACTTCTTTGGTACTACTTCCCACCTCCCTCCCAACCGCGGAAAACCAAAAAAAAACCCGAGATGGAGTCCCGCACCCGCACAACCTCCCGTTATTATCATCTGAGATGAACGGAAAAAAAACAGAAAAACCGCTGGCCACACACCGGCGAAGATTAACCAGCGAAAAAAAACGGGATTAGTCTCGAACGAGTACTCGTGCCCTCGAGCGAGGTCTCGCGTGGATCTTGCGAGTACCAAACGCAGACAGTGCCCTCCTTCGCCCGCCGCCGCCCATCGGTCCTTCCCCGCCATCCCACCGCCTGACTCCATTGCTCCGACGCTGGTCCTGTGCACAACTCCCCGCTGAGCGCTTCGAGGATCCGGCGCGGATCAAAACCGCCGGTATCCATCGCGCCGGCGCGGATCCCCTTCTGGACCTGAAGCTGGACAGGTCCAGGACGTGGCGCCAGCGCCAACGGCGTACAAGATCCGCCCTCCAGGTATCACATATCTGAAATTTACATCCAGATCTGAAATTTACATCCATACACAAATACAATGGTATGAACCTACATAACAGACAGGTTCAGGACGTGGCACCAGCGCCGACGGCGTACAAGATCCGCCCTCCAGGTATCACATATCTGAAATTTACATACATATCTGGAATTTACATCCATACACAAATACAATGGTATGGACCTACATAGCAGATCTGAAATTTACATGATTTCATATACACAGCCATCACATACACACTGCCAGCACATACACACAGCCATCGCATACACACATTGGATACTTTGTCGTAGCCTGCCATCGCATACACACTGCCAGCACATACACACAGCCATCGCATACACACATTGGATACTTTGTCGTAGCCTGCCATCGCATACACACTGCCAGCACATACACAAAGCCATCGCATACACACTTTGGATACTTTGTCGTAGCCTGGGTGCAGTTGGAGCACCATGATGCTTAGAAGAAAGGTGGAGGGCTGGCCTAACCAATATGCACTAATAAGAAAACTAATAAAGGACCCATAAGTAAGAATACCATCACCAAACGGCATTGCAAGGAATGAAAAGACTATTTAGCTCCTATGTAGCTGTTATTTTGAATTGCATATTATGATGGAACCAATGTCCCTAATAATATTTCAAAGATGAAGCTCTCAAAGATGTACTTGTGCCTTTTGCTGAATGTGTTCTATGTTTAGATTACCATACTTGATTTGCTGTTAAGGCATAAATGAGAATGTGCAAGATCACAGTGTTGCGGGGAGTATGTATAGGGCTCAGCCCGCGGGAGTGTAGCGGCCGGAAAAAAACATCATCTAAGATGCAACTTTTGATGAAAAAAAGGAGATGTTTTTTTTTCTTTTATATTTTTTGCGGGAGAGTAGGAGCTATAACTTAAAGAGCATGTCAACATAGCTACTTACAAATGCTCTGAATGCATGCTTCAGCGAAGTCATCTCATAGATGAAGGAAAGAAGGAGCTATAACTTAAAGAGCATGTCAACATAGCTACTTACAAATGATCTGAATGCATGCTTCAGCGAAGTCATCTCATAGATGAAGCAGCCTAAAAATCGCAGATATTAGCCAAGAGAACAAGCAAGCAAGACATGCAACTGAATGTTAGATAGGAATGCTTGCCTAGCAACCATATGTTGGACTTGGAGCCATACGAAATATAAGCAACAAGTTCAGTTATTTCAAGTATTTTTCCTACCTGATTTTCTTAGAACACACTTACTGAGCCATATATTTTGGTCCTTTGTAAGGAATATATTTGAACACTGAAAAAAATACAATGCATGGTGAGTAACCTTCTAGGATTAAGTGAACTGTTACTATCAAATAAAGCTGCTACTTATCAGAAGCTGACCAAATAAAAATGCAGATAGACTTACTCAATTTATTAGCAATCTAACTAACCTGAAGAAGTCCGGTAAGTAGAACAAGTCGGGCGGGAGGCACAAGCATGAGTGAATCTGCGAACTGTTGCACTCAAAATCTGCTTAAAGTTCAAGATAGAATAAAGTCGAGGAACTCAATGATTGACTGTTGATGCTTTGAATTAAAGTACCTTCTTATTCATGCCTTCAAGTTCGCCATCTCTCTTGCGTTCATGTTGCATCTATTATATCCATCTGATCATCTCCCAGGCCTCAAAAACACCAGAGCTAGCGGTCATTTCATTTGCGAATGGGTAATGCAAGAAGCAAAGCCGGTGAACATGAACAAGAAGACGGCATAGGTACAGGTAGTGTTCACTGTACTATGAATACTTGCTTTTCTGCTAATATTGCGCTTCTTGCATAATGTATTGCAGATCAGACGAGCGTAAAACATGCTGAAGAATACAATACAAACTTGATACCCGTTGATGAACAAGTAGATGCTATTCGCGCGATTGAACCCGGTATATAAAGTGTGAAAATATTGTGATGTGATGCCTGACGTGCAAGTCTAACAATGACTTGTACCATGCTTAATGTCTTGCAGCACCTACGAGCGAGACAAACATGAAAGATGGTAATCCGAACATCATATCCATAGTTGCAGATGTTGATCCTTTTTACACGACGGAGACAGGTACATGATTGATTGCGTGCGTACCAGACAAATATTGAAGTTGTATTCATGCTTACTATACTCTACAGATGGACCGGAAAGGGTAAGGCCTGGGTACCATGATGATGGTCAAACATTTGCACCTACGGCTAGCCTAACACTCGATCATGCTATTCATAACATGTAGCTACAAGATAATTCTCAAGGTATCCACAGGCATGATATCCACCTTCCCAACCGTCGTTTTATTTGTTTTCTTATTTGTATTGATACATGCAGACGACACTGCTTCCGAACATCATGAAACTCTATCATTAAATAATGAATGCAAAAAATACGCGGATAATGCAAGGGAGCAGTACAATGCAAGGAAACGTGCAGCTTATCGGATTAAACGAAATGAGGATATTGTCAGCTTACAGAATGAGAATCAGCCGGTAGTTGCAAAATCTGGTGAGCTTGATGGACACTCTTAGTTTGATGTGCATACGTATGTTGCTTAGTAGGTAATATTGTGCTTATATCCCGGTTAACAGAATATATGATGCACAATAATTTGCCACTTATTAGATCATAGGGATCTTATCAACGCTCGTAGGCGGGCTGTTTATCGCAACAAGTTGTCAGATGATTTGGGTAACCAACAAGTCATTGGGAAGTCTGCCCGTCGCCAGACTCTATGTGATATCACAAATGTTCTCGAAGATAGGGAGAGAACTAAACCTAATGTCCAAGATGAAAATGCACTTGCCCTTCAATCATCAGGTAAGCTTAAAGAGTATTATCCATGATATTCGGTATGTCAAAACCATTTAGCTGACATGTGTTTGGACAACCCAGCTAACTCTAACTATACAGCATTCTCGCATGATGCGTCAACGTTTTCTATTACAACTACGGGCCTTTCTGGTCTCATTAATGAGAATGAAAGTCAAGGTGATCATATTTTGAGTACTCATTCAACAAATTGCTCACATGTTTCTGTTATATTCTCTAATATTTGTGTTTGCCCCTAATGACATCTGATGCAGTAGCAGTAATTACACCCAAGAAACAGAGGATAGAACGGAAGCAGAACGCAAGAGAGACCATAGAAACGCATTGAGAAGGGCCTCCTATCGGCGGAAAAAGCTACCTAATGTCCGAGATGAAATTGCAAAGACCCTTGTGTTAACAGGTATGGTTCAAAATGTTTTTAACATTATAGTTGGTATCGTCTTAACCAATTAGCATAATTTTGTTTGGTCAAATCTGGTTCTCCAGACAACCCAACCAGCTCGGAGTCATTTCCAAGTTCAAATACGGTGTCATCTGGAATCATCTGTGACACCGAGCATCAAGGTGATCATATTGTTCCTAATCATTCACCAATTTCATGGGCGTATCTGTTTTATTCTCTCATATTCGGGAATGTAATCTTGTAAGACACCCAAGAAGCAGAGCTTAAAACGGATGAAGAACGCAAGAGAGACCATAGAAACGCCCTGAGGAGGGCTTCCTATCGGCGGAAGAAACAATTTACCGTACAAGTTGAACATGCACACAACCTGCATTTATCAGGTATGCTATTAATGATTTAACCATTATGTTACGAACCGTTTTTATCAATAAGCAATAATATGTCTGGACAACTTTTGTATGCAAGGAAACCACACTAGCTCTAACTATACATCATTCTCGGATGATGCGTCGGCATTTCCTGATTCAATGGTGGTCTCGACTGGGATCGTTAATGACATAGAGCTACAAGGTATTGTAATTTTGTTCT